GAGGCTGTTAAAAACCAGAGTGACCTACTGGGCTCGAATTGTAATAAGTGGTGGTGTTGTTGTGGTCACTCAAGTCTAGTCGTTTATGGTATTTAATTTCACTCATACTTTAGGTGTATGATTATTGAAATTTTTGTAATTTACAATGCTTTACATTCCTCTGTAAGGGGTGTGCGATAGACTTACCTCCACGTGGTGCACCCTGGGCAACGTATACTCATACGGCAAAAAAGTCTATTAACCGGGAGTTGACTTCTGACCTCAAACTGTCATGATCCCACTGTATGCCATATTCGACCCTTTTCACAGTACTCACCTTACCTTTTTCTCTACCTTTGTTTCTGTCTGCCTCTTTTACATCTGTGAATCGCTCTTCTGTTCCCCGCCCCTCGACTTTCTGCTACTTTGATGAACTTTCCCTCTGTGAAACCCGAAGTCAGCTAAATGGCTAATGATATCTATCAAAACGCCTGCCATTTGAAATAAATACATTCCTCTGTAAAAGCTTGATGATCTAATTTACTTAATTTTTTCAGAAAAACTATGTGCTATGAAAGAATGGCTTCATTCTCTAATTAAAATGGGATCGTTCGATTGGAATAAACCAAGATTTGCAAAAAGTGTGAACTAAAACAGCTTAACTCAGTGAGTCGTATGATTACTATAATAAATAAATTTTTCAAATGCAAACTCGACTTCGGTTGGGAAAGAGCAAATTGATTAATTCCATGTTTTTGTGACGCGAAATTCAATAATAGATGTGCCTTTTATTTTCATTAAATTGACAAAAATAACTTTTGCCCTTTGATTTTAAACTGAACGGTATTGAAAATGCATCAATAGCCTAATAATTTAACTCAGTTAAAACTTTGTACTTGTGAAAGATGATGAACATTATACAAATCAGGGATGTAGACATCACGTTGGGTGAACTCTGCCATGTTAGGATCAAATAGGCTGTTTACGATTATGATAATACCGTTCTCTCTATTCTAGGCAGAATAAAAGGTGTATTGAACAGCACAATTACTTAACCTGTCAATAAGTATTGTATATCATGAAGAAGAATTTGAACTTTGGAATGTGAATTAGAGAACTAACCGCAAAGTAAAATTTAAAAAAAACTTGAAGATAAAATCAAGTGAAATTCTCAACCTCTTATTGATACTTTCCCCTTTACGATTATTGAATTATACTCTTTTCACCTCTTTCATTCTTTCTCATGATGAAAAGTTATGCATTCTTAAATACCGAAGTTATAGTAAAATTGCCTAATGAATATAAGTATTGAAAAAGTCAGTGATAAAACTATATCAGCATTATTTAAACAAAGTTATGAAGTACTCGAAACATGATATTGTCCCAAACTAAAGTTTAGTTAGACTATATCACTTGCTTTAAAAGAACATCTTCTGTAAGTTGAGTCAATTTCACTTGATTACAGCTTAACCATTACTTTTTATTTTTTTCTCGCCTATACTGTGAATTTAATAAAACAACTACGTTGAGGTGTGTCCACATTCTGATAGGTGAACTTATTCCGGCCAATCAATGAGTAGAAAAATCTAGCTAAATCTTGACCATTGCGCAAACTCTAATTAATGCATTGTTTATTACAAAACAGAATGTCATTCATGTCAATTGCTTTATTCTTCCTTTTCATTCTCCACTGTCTATCATCTGTGGAACTACATTCGATAACTATTACTCGTTTCCCCTCCATCCGAACTTTCGACCTCGATGGCCGAGTAACGGTCTCAGGAGTTGAGATCCGCTTTTCTGATCCGAAATTAAGACATGTTCATGCAATTTATGGCATCCGTTATGCTTCACTAGGTGGGGAAGAATCTTATTTTGATGTCAGTAGTACAAGAGCCGAGTCGGAATTTCCAGAGTTGAGTGAGCCTGTCCAACCAGCTGCTAAAAGACGATTTATGCACTCGGTGGCTGCCTTTATATATGAGACACCCGCCCGTGGTCATTTGCAGAAAACAAGCGCACCTCCTGAGTGTCCACAGCCACGGGGACCTAGCAGAAAAACCCGAGAGAGTTCCAATAGTGACTGGACAGCAAGGACTGCTTCCGTACGCCAACTTCTCCAACCGACATCTCAAAAGGAGGATTGCTTGACTCTTAACATATTTGTTCCTGAATCACGTAAGTGAATTGTCTCTAGCTTGGCGTTAAAATGTGCTGCATTGACTAAAATTTATTAGTGCTATCATACTTCCTTTTTACCCCGTTTTATTAATTTATTCAGATCCAATTTTAAGCAGTTTGAATGGCAAATGAGTCTATTTAGGTTATACATTTAATTAACGCAAGAGGACGAAACTCTTCAACGTACTTCTTCGTGTTCTCACAAGCAACTTACTTTAATGAGTGCAGAATGGTATTGATAAAGTCAATTTCGTTATTTATATAATAAACGTAAGAGTGAATAAAAGTTAAAAAATATGCAAAATTAAAATGGTATTACTCTGAATCTGGTCTGGAGAACACTGCCTGTTGCAATAGGCAATTTTCTTTGTAAAGCTTATCTAATTCATTAATTGATGCAAAAATCATAGGTCTGACAGAGAGTAGATGTTTCAGAAATTGTATCGTCTTTATTAGTGTATTAAATGCACTTTTAACGGTTGGATCATAAAATATTTCAGTAGTTAACATTTACACACAAGGTCGAAAATCTTAAAATGATCAAAGCTAATTATGTCGAACATATCCATGAAGCCCATGTCAATCAATATCTAAAAGAACTGTTCACTTCATAAATTGTGATTTTAAGAAATACATGCTTTGTTTTATACAACTTGTAACAGTCAGAAATCTTTGCATATTGTTATGTTCTAATGAAACAACAAAAAATCAAACTACCTTAAAGTTACCTTAAATTGAAAGATAGATGACACCAAGTTAATTGTTTTGCAGAAGTGGACATTTATTTTCGCCTATTATTAATAGAAATTGTACGCATAATAATTTAAATGACTAAGCTGATATTGCCTCTTGGTTTTAAATCTTGACGATAAGACAATACACTCAGCGTAATTTACAAGATGACTACCCAAATCACTGCAAAATTAACCCAAAGCAGATTAGGATTCTAGCGATGCAGGTTTAAAGTCAACACCGAATCAGGCCGAGTTGTGCCAATAAAATTTTTACAACCGAAAGTGAGAGTGAATTAGCCTCGATTTATTATTAATGCTAAGTTGCTACAAAGTTCCATCGAGACTTGCTATTTGGGAATACACAAACGCGTCAAGGAGCTACTTATTTAACTAACTTATTTACTCTTGAATTAATTTTTTTCTGAACGAATAAAGTTGTGCTTAAAATTCACTTCTTCGTTTTAATAATGCAAAATACACGTTAGCTTTGATGACAATTGAGAATTCAGATCAAGACGGAGGCTATCTGAACTTTAAAATCCGCACTTAAGCTCAAACCACCTACGAAAAGAACCGTTTAATTGGCCATTTTTGAGGGCGAAAATGATACAATGAAAATATATGCTTAAAGAGATGTCACTTCGAATTAGTCATCGGAGTTATCGATTTTCCTTCGCATTCGGTGAAAATCAAAATGAAAGTAAAACAACTTTGAATTCTAATTTTGTTTCTAAATTATGCTGATTATATAAGATTAAAAAAATTTATAAAAATACTTTGCTTAGTCGAATGTTGTTGTATTTGTTAATATACGTGACTAAATACCATAGTTATTAGTAATAATGGATATCTGTCTGTTGTAATTGACTGAATTTCGATGATTTAAAATAGCTCATAATTTTGACCATCAAACAGTACTGTTCAGTCAAAATTATAGGATCTTATAATGTGATTATAATGCTGGTAAAAGGCACTTTTAAAATTAAAATTAGATCGTTCGGTAGTTCATTGAAATAGGCTAATTTATTAATTTAAAAATTTTGACGCTTAAATAAGATACAGCAGATCTAATTTTAATTATTTTTGTTCAGATCTCATTTTCAAAATTATATTGTTTCGTCGTATATTTAGATTCAGATGGCTCCGTTGAACCTGCCTTCCCGGTATTAATTTTTGTCCACGGTGACTCATACGAACATGGTTCTGGAAATGGCTATGACTTCAGCCTCTTTTCAAGTCTTGGAGGGTCAATCGTGGTAACCCTCAATTATCGGCTTGGGCTTTTGGGTAAGTAATTATTGCTTTCAATCGCGCTAAGCTCTTAGTTACCAATGTGAGTGATCTTATTCGCTTAGGAAGAAAAGTTCGCATTCCTACAATGTATATATTAAACAAGTAATCAAGACATCTGATAAATGGGAGACTCGAGTGAGAGAAAGTGTCGTCAAGATTGAAAAAAACATGTGACGCATCTTTCTCATACAATTATCTAAATGGGCAAGGTGGCGAGGTTACTTCATATTAGATTCAATAAAGTAATGGCTCGCAGACAAATTTATACAAAATAATTCCTAGAAGGTAAGGTTAGCACTTATGACGTTAGGTTGAACTAGGCTAAACAGCAAAATCTATCAGACACTTATTTTCGGCCTTTTTGGCAAATATTTGGGTATATTTATTTATTTATATCAAATGGCAGGCATTTTGATAGTTATCATTAGCCCTTTAGTTGACTTCAGGCTTCATAGAGGAGGAGGAACATCAAAGTGGAAAAAAGTCTTTGGGGGGGGGGGGAGACAGAAGAGTGATTCAAAGATGTAAAAGAGACAGACACAAAGGTCGAGAGTAGGGTAAGGCGAGTACTGTGAAGTGGTGGAATATGACATAGAGTGGGGTCATGGTGGCTTGGAGTCAGAAGTCAATTGTCGGCTTACAGACGTTTTTTGTCGTATGAGTATACGTTGCCCAGGGTGCACCACGTGGAGGTAAGTCTATCACACACCCCCCGTTTTGGCAAATATTTGGGTGGTCTTTCGTCTTAATTATGCACTAAAATGGATTTTTAAAACTGTTATATATATGCAAAAGTAAAGAGCCTTATATTATTGCATTAAGTCTTACTTTAAACCGTGACCATATTAAAAAGCCTTAAACGGACTCAATGGGGTAAAAATCCGGAGCTGCCTCATTCTTTCGTAACGTAAAGCGTACAAATTTGGCTGCTGTGTAAATTAATAACCTCCTACATTGTTTTGCTGGCAAGAATTGTAGTTTCTCCCTTAATTATCTATATACCCTCAAATTGATTCTGGATAGAGATAGAACAAACTTCAAGGCGCTTTAATTAAGTAAAATCGACTACATATTCAATGAATACCTGCGAAATTTATCATCGCTAGACGAATGATGGCATACTCCAAGCATAATCATCTCCATGACATTTTGTTTGAAGTTGTTGAGATTTCCTTTTACCAATATGATACCTTTAAGCTGAAAATTAGTTGATGTTATGCATATATTTTATTAGTCAAAATCGAGCACTAATGCTCTTACAACTAGTATTTGTTACCTGCTCATCATCTCATTAACACATACTACCTCAATCTCACTTGCGCCTTCTACTGTCCCCCCCCCCCCTAACCTGGTCAACTAATTTGGGGGGGGGGGACGATTGCTGTCTTGGCTCTGTCAGTATTGCAGGGGCACTTGCAGAATGATTACAAAGTTACATTTTATTAAAAAACAGTATTACTGGGAATAGAAAATCGCATGGAATGATGGTAGTCAGAGGACTTAAGAAGCATTAATTAAATAATTGTGGTCATTTAAAAAATTAATTTCGTGCTACTAATCCAGTTACCTGAGAGGCACATTGGGTGTAAGAAATATAGTGATTATTTCATCAACTTACATTAATCATATCGTGTTCTCATCAGACTTCTTTTCTTATCTCTTATGCCTCTAGAGATGATTACCAGCAAATTCAAATGTAGCATGGTGCAAAATGATACTGATGCGGTAAGGGGTAAACGTTTGCTATACTCTGGATCGTCCAAGTAAGTAGTAAACTACAGAGAGGCAGAGGAATAGGACTTTTATAAAGAAGAACCACAGACAAGTAGAATATGCAACAGAACTGAGGCATGTGTATTAGGGAACGTGTAAGTAAAAAGTGAGTGTAAACGACAACAAAATAAGGTCGGTGTAGTCGGAGGGGGTGGGGGGGGGGGAGAAGAATGGGTTATCAGTAAAATTGTGCTGGGAGAACGGACTAGGGGAGCGTATTTAAGCAGAATATGTGCAAGTCAGACAGGGGTATATATATATATATATATATATATATATATATATATACTTCAACCATCGTCAATAAAATTTTTCAATTTCTTTAAATTGCTGCAACTTCCAGTTTCATTCCTATTTGGTTGTAAAACGGTCAGTTAATGGAGCATTTTTGCACTTCAGGATTCCTCTCAGACAGCAGTGCCGGTTCAACAAGAGGCAATTTCGCTCTCTTCGACCTACAAGCCGCGATACAGTGGGTCTACTCAAACATTCATCGTTTTGGTGGTGATCCCGAGGGTATTACTTTAATGGGTCATTCCCATGGAGCTGCCCTAGTTCATCTTTTCGCCACGTCAATGCTTTCAATCGGTAACTGCTCACTTAAACAAAAAAGAGATAGCTGTCAGCACCAATCTTACTAAAAATGTTAATGGTATCGATTAAGTCCAAGAAAGTTATTATTTAGAGTGCCTGAATTCGCGAAATGGTAATTAGAAGCGTGAAAAAAAGACGCGAATCGTTTCTTGTCTAACAGAAAGTAGATTTCAATGGCTATGCGGAAGAACAAAAATAAGGGGAATAAAAGGAGAAAAAACACATCTAAAAATTTTTTATTTCATTAGTGAATATTTAATTATCTGCTATAATCAATTTAGTTTACACATAGAGGACTAACATGTACACCAAATTGTCGAATATAATACTTTCGGTCTTTGAGATCCTACTAATAGCTAACTGCGAACAACTGGAGGCCAATCAATCTTCCAATTGTGACTTTCATAGATGAAGGATATATGTTTAAACAGACATAAAAGCCTCATGACCACTAGGAACAATACATGATTCACCCATATATTTTACATCAGTTTCCGTTAGAAAGTGGAACCAAGGCCCAAACAAGATCATGTTCACAAATTTCGAATTTGTGAGGACAGAAAACTTTGATGGAATTAGACTATCTCTTTTGAAAATCAAATGGAGTCATTTTCACTTTCACAAGTCTTGATTCTAGTTTTACTTCTCTCTCTCTCTCATCATTTTGTCAATCGAATGCTAACTTCGACTAGGGAAAACTATTGCTTTACATTACATGATATGTTGGGTGTTCTGCACTACAAAAGCCATATGTCTCGTGACTTCAAGTATTTCATATCATATAAAGGACAAGGCTAAGTAAATCATCACCTACCTTGGTGTCACCTCCGATGATTGATTAATTAGGACAAATGGCGATGTACCTTTGAGAGACTTCGGGAAGAAGTGTGGTATGAATTTTCTCTGTTCTCTATAATTATTTTGAATCATTTATCTGCAGTCTCAAGCTGGTTACAAGAAGCTCGTTTAACTTTGAAGTAGGCAGTTGAACAACTACGGGTTTCCCAATGTGATCAATGATGGTGACATATTGTCATGTATTCTATTGGGACATGGAATGAACTAAACCCACATTCCATATTTCAAATGTCGTATAAAATCAAGCAAATTAACTATCAACTATATATATTGCGAATATTTAATTCAGCTCAAGTGCACTTAAATAGATGAGAATTTGTTAATCGAGTGATGGAGAATAGCCTGATGTGCGTGTGCACATCGTAAAAAATAACAAAGATGTAAATTAATGAAGTTTAAAAAAAATACGTATCATGGCCTTATCTTTTGTTATAAAGTGCTGTAAACTTGCGTATGAATGAGATACATGAGCACTCTTTCTTCGTGAAAGCCAATTGGTTCCAGATCAAACAACCGATGTTTCAGAAAATGGACGTTCAAACATTTGTTCAGTTAGGTGCTAGAAAGCATATTTGAGCATTCTCACTCAACTCACTTGGAGCGTTTCCTCGTGTTCCACAACTGCAATTATGAGTAATTTATTATAAAGAAGGGTATATTCTAAGCAAAGAATCGGCAATAGAAATCATAAGTCGTCAGCATTGTACATTCTTAATTATGAGTAGTTGCAGTTCGAGTTTTGCTTTAATATAAATTTTTTTCTATTTGCCTATTTGTTCTATTGTCGATATTCCATCACAGGGTAATTCGTATACTGTCAAGTGATTAAGTATCCCCCCAATTTTCGGATATGTGAGGTTTGTTACACCAATTCTCATGTCCAATAACTTGTTAATCATTTTCATGATGCCTCTCAAATACTCTCCCCTTTAGCGGACATTGAGTTGCATTAGCTATGCTAACAATGGCCTAGCATAACAGTTACTTTTTTTACAGTCCAAATGTCTGCACAATGCAACTGACCCAGTCTAGACCTATCAATAAAATTTCTCTTTATGAAGGCGTAAATTTGTCACTCTGAACTAATCTATCCCCTTACCAACATCACGCTTCATTTGGAGGAGTATTTAAGTCAAAATAACTTTAAAGATTTACTTAAAATCAAAATTTTCCAATTTAAGATGAACTGAAATTTTTGATAATATTTTCAGAGTGAACAGAAGCCTGTTTTTTTTGCTCCTAAGTTTCAAGGATGCAGACTAAGTTGAGTCTCCCAATTTTATTTCTACTAAACTGATCCACAAAAAATGCGTTAAAAATAATTTGATTGCAATCTCACTGATTTTCCCATTAGCATAGAAATGTTTAGTTAAACATTAATGGACATAAAATGCATCTGCTCACACAGGTGATTAGAACTGTAGAAAAATTGGCTTAAATTGGTGAAGGAATACAAGTTAGATTGAGCCTAGACTCCTCCTAAACATACAAAAAACCTTAAAAATAAATGCTGCAAATTATAAAATTTTTGTGACCTCTCTTTTCTTTTCATATTATAAATTAGGAAAATATAAGTGATTTCTTTTTAATACTTTAGGGCCGAATTACTACGGAATAAAGCGGATAATTTTGTTTGACGGTTCTGCTGAGGCCCCATGGGCAACAGGCACATGTGACACTGACATCAAGTCTCTACTTGAAGCAAGCCTCAATGTTCCACAATCCACCTCCTCTACTGTCTTTGATCTACTTCAGGAACTGTCCGTGTCGTCCATTTTGGAAATTCAGAGAAACCTTTCCAAGATGGGGTTGGAAAAATGTTTCTCTCCGCTGCCTATCAAACAACAGATTGTCACAGAGAAACCGACGCTCTTTAGCCGAGCGAGTCTAATCTATGGGCAAACGGAATTCGCTGGATCATCGTTCTCCCATAGCAAGGGAATTGAAGACAATATAGACCAATTCACTCCTGAGTTGAATTATCTAATGGAGCATGTGTTCCGCGTGCCCCCACATCCACTCACTGATCTGCTGAAGTATGTCTATGAGCAATCGAATATATGGATTGAAAATAACGGCGATAATACCGAAAAGAATAAGGTGAATAATGTTTATTTATATAAAATGGCAGGCTTTGTGATAGTTGTCATTAGCCCTTTAGTTGACTTCGGGGTTCACAGAGAGGAGGAACATGCAAAGTTGCAAAATGTCCAGGGGGAAGGGGAAGAGAAAAGTGATTCATAAGTGTGAAAGAGGCAGACAGGCCCATAGGTAGAGAAAAAGGTAAGTTGATAGCTGTGGAATTGGACTAATATGACATACAGTCATGTCGTAGTAGTTCGAAGTCAGAAGTCAAGTGCCGGTTTATAGGCTTTTTGCTGTGTGAGTACACGTTACCCAGGGTGCACCACGTGGAGGTAATTCTATCCCGTACTCAATGGGAATAATATAGAAATAATAAAAATAGCTTGATAGTAACGAGGTGACCAGGTTCATTAGTCACAATGTATGCTCACAAATTCTGCTCAATAATTTAAGAATTTATTAGAAAATTAAGTAAATTGACTCCAAAAGGAGAATAGTTTTTCTGCCGAAGTTTATGGGTATGACATGGCAGACATCGTCTGGTGAATAGAATCGATCTGGTGGAAAATCCCAAAGATTATCGTGCTAG